CAGTTGCTAACATTATCCGGTGCAAAGTTATACCGCTTTCCACATTACTTCACCAATTAACGCGACCCATGTTACTATCCTGTGTACCACTGTTGATTTAGCCTGCAAGAAAGGAAGTAACGGTAAAAAGCAAATGTGGAGCAATTTGTTTACTAACGTTGGCCTATAGTGATGCAGCCAGCTAACGCTACATTAGCTCGGACCTGCCGCTGTTTGCTTCGTAAAGTTCAGTTTAGGTTTATTTTGGTTTTCTGCGATTAATCTCATACTTATGAACAAAATTGAATAATGAATTCTAAAGTAGTGTATTGCGCACTTGTAATTTAAATGTACTGCTATATACACAAAAGTGCAATAACGTGGTTTGCAAACACTTTAAACAAATATGGTGCTTTTTACCAGCAGTATTCCCTTTACACAGTAGCAATGAAATATTTCTGAACAGGTATCAGCAGAAACATTGGATGAACGTAGTTTATGTAGTAGCAAGTGCCCGTGTTAGAGTGAGGTGAAGTATGCCACGCAGGGCACAAATAATTGGAAAAGAGACTGATCCTCGCTGTTTGAGTTTCCAGAATCTACTACTGTTTACTAAATAGTTATCAGCATGGCAGAGCATCCCCGCAAAACTAGATGAAGGCCTATAAGGTAAAGTTACGTAGCCTATAATTTTAAAGAGGTGGTATTATGGTTTTTGGCTTTTTCCCTCTCCTTTATTGAGTTATATATCTTTTTTGTGCATGTATTAGATTTGCAAAGTGAAAAAGCCTAAAGTCCACCCCAAAGGGAGTTCCCATCTCCCACAGAAAACACTGCTTTGAACTGCCTGGAAACAGCTCGTTTGTAGTCCAGCCTTTGCTTTCCTTTCTTGTGATGTCACAATGAAAATACGTGTCATGCTCGCTGAGCGGCTATTCCGACACACCCTCAAAAACTGAGCTGCAGCACACCTCTCCTCTCCCTTCCAAACACTAACTACCCTCCAAGCAGTCAATGGACATAAAGTTGTTACTGTGATGTAGAGACAGCGCTCAGTTAAAACTTTATGGACGAAAGATACTTTTGTTACAGATTAATAACTCACCACTCTGAAACTCTTGCTCCAGTCCAAATTGCCAACCTGGTCGGCAACATGTAGCCTACAGCTGAATCGAAGCTGTTTACAGTCTTTTCGCTGACCTGCCCTTCTCTGCTTCTGATTGGCTAGTAGTCCCTAACTAGGAACTGTGCTTGAAAAAGAGCATAATACCACCTATTTAACTTAAATAGGCTACAGCTATAGGCATTAATTAATTAATTAATGCTTTAACGCGTTAACGTGTCCAGCCCTATTTAATTTTACATCTGAAAATGTCTCAGTTTAGGTAAACATTCTTTTTAATTTTGGCAATTTGCTGCTTACTTTTGTACCTTGAACTACTTATACTTTAATACATAAAACTAGACAATTGGGTTTATTCTAAAACTTTTGACCGGTAGGAAAACATTTCAGGAGACTCTAGGGTCTCTCCATTTCTCTGCAAAAGCCTCTCTCCCACAAACAATGACACTACCAGAGTTACAAATTAGCACTGTCAGCAGAAAACTTGCTTCAGGAGACAGGTAAAAGTTTTACAAGGTGATGTCACCTTGGGCCAGGCTTGCAGACTCCTGGTACTCCTGGCGTCTACTGCAGGCCTAATGAATACAATAGACGAGATAGGGCTGACTCAGTTGACATCAGTGAGCCAAGTCAGGACATTAATAGTACAACAAGGACATTAGGACATGGACATTAGATTGACGCCTTCAGTGATGTCAATCTTTTTGGCTTGGGTCAGTCTTACAACAGCATATGAAGATATCAGTGAAGCACATTGCATGCCTGCTCCAAAATGGTAAAGGCATTCATGTAATGCTTTTCTACCTTAACGGACAAAGCACTTCACAATGCAGCAAGTTTTAAGAGCCGTTGGGGTAATTGGAGGGGGAAGGAAGTATAAAGGAGCCTTTTACAATCACTTCACTTAAAAGTAGCCTTTAAATCAAGTGAGTGAGTGAGTGAGTGAGTGAGTGTGTGTGCGCAGACACACACACACGTGCAGTTATTGACATATAGACTATTTCCATCTAGGGAGCACACAGAAGCTCAAACAATGAAATATTTACCCCGCGTTGTGCTGTTTGGCGTTATCCAAATAGTGCATATATTTTAATACATTTCCAATACGTTACACTCCTGTAGCTCTGATATATCATGGCATTTTCTTTCTGCTTGCCTCTGAAAATTGTTTTTAATGAATTAATGTCTCCTACAAAGACTGACTACTTCTGCCTCAAGTCTACACTGTAGCCTATGCGGTCAGCTATGCACATAGCCATACATTTATACTTGTGAGTCTATCTATTTACTACATAGTAAATAGATAGACGCAGAACACCAGAAGAAGGATGAATGCCCATGAAATTCTGGTAATAACATCAGTGAGGGAGAATCAGATGGGGAGAGATAACAGCGACATGGGTGCGTAAGTCTGTCTGTGGGTGAGTGTGTGTGAGAGAGAGAAAAAGAGAGCGGTCGAGGTAGAGTGGAAGACTACATCCTGCTGAACCAGGTTGGAGGCTGCTGTACCGAGCAGGTGGGACACCATTGCTTAGAATGGGGGTCCAGAGAGCAGACGGGATGAGCGCTATTTCCAATAGAAGAAAATAACACCACGTTATTATGAAAAATTCGCTAGGCCTACTAACGTTCTTCTTCTACAATTGGCCTAATAATTATACAAGCATGTTCATTATGTTGTTGTTCGTTTATTGTAGCCGACAGTTTAATTATTAACTTTAAAATGTAGGCTATTTGACTGTTATTCAATAAAGCAACTGTGAAGTTAATAAAATGCCATAACTGCCACACTTTGATTATCATCGCTCAGTTTAAAGTGCTCCCACACAACTGAGGGCTTCTCTTTGATGTGAACTGGAGCTTTACGTTCACTGCTGTGAGCAGAGGTCGGGCGCACAAAAACAACAAAAAAAAACAAAAAAACAAAACAAAAAAAACACCACACCTCTACACACTCATAATTGAAAACTGAATGTGTACCCAACGATCAAATATTCGGGTCCAGCCCTAGTAGTGACGCTCACAAATATTGATCCACCATGTTACAGCCGCTGGATTGGCCACTAGTAAAATTGACTTCAAAGCACAGATCACTGTCTGTAGGCTTGGAGGAAATGTGAGGCTACCCGACCTACCATAGTTCATGCGGTCTGCGTCGCCAAGACGTGTAGTTACATTTTTGTGGAGGTGCACATCAGGCTACGGTGTAGACTCAAATCAGGCTTGAGTCACCTTTACACACAATCTATTTCTCTGTTAATTCCTCGTCCCTTTCTTTTATTTCTCTCTCCCTCTTTCTTTTCAATGAGTCCATAAAATGCCGTTTAAAGTTAGTATCCTTAAAGTCATTTCCATTCAATACAGAAACACTAGTTCACCTTAGCCAGGGTAAAAAAAAAAACAGGTGGGTCCACTGTCAACCTGGAATGAGAGGAGGTCATGACGTGTGCTGACTCATTCAGATTACTGTACTTAACAATGAGGGCTAATATAATTAGGAAACAGGTAGATGATGAAAATGTTTTGAATAAAAATGTATGACTGCATCTTCATGCCCGTGACAAAAACCTGTAAACATTTTTCATGTGGGAGGGTAAGTTTACCAGTGGTTTTAATGGGGCCTTGAACAGTCTGGATGTTTGAGATGGTGCCATATCCATGTCTATCTGAAATTATAACATGATGTTACACTTGATGCAAACATCTCCACCAACGGCAACTTTCTACAGTCTTAAGCACTGATACGGTCTAACAAAACCATGGAATAGCAGGAGTGTAACGTGACTTTCTGTGTTTAAGACTAATTCTACAAGGCTCACCAACATACAAACACGCCATCGACCAGCTTTGAATAAGAGTGTGTGTTTTTATGTTTAATACACACACTTGAGTGCAGAAAGAGGTTACCCAGTTTGATACAATCTGAGAACATCCACACAGGATGTTCTCAGGCCGTGATTCACATATTTGTGTAATATTTATTACACAACACTTAACTTTACACTGCAATCCATTCAGTGACGATAGAGAAATCACTGAGTTAGTTTACAATAATAAATGTTTTTCAGTCACGTGTGTGGATAGCTGTTTTTATCAATTACTGACCGATACAGAAAGTGATCTCTAGAGGTAGTTCCTGATACTACAGAGTCACTTTACAGCACACACTAAGCTTTTTCCTAAATTTAAATACAGAGCACAAACAGAGGGCTAAAACTACCAACCAATATTTGCATATCATGTTTTTTTTTTCCATCACACTAAATGTTGGATGTCAATGATGTGGTAAGAAACACACTTGCAGTACATAATGCATAAAAATGTTTATGCAGAGTGAGAAACAGTGTCAACATGACACAGCCAGGTGCACCATTGTACCGCAACACACTGTCACACCTGTGATCAGGTGCAGCACAATCTGAGACTGGAATGCTGCACACCTTTGTCCCTACATTTGAAAATTCCCTTTATTCTACATGGAGGTGTTTACATCCCAGATCGGTTGCTAATAATGGACAAGCAAACACCTGTTTGTTTGTTTTTTGTCCTGAAGTTGCTTGTTTTGTGTGATCAACAACCCCAAATTAAAATAAAATAGGCCTTCAATTTACAAATGTATATGTCTAAGAAAACTAGCAAATACTGTATTAAGAAGCTAAAAATAGTGACTTTTCAGCATTATTGCTGAAAACATTTGAGTGAGCCTCGTAGGTGTGTAGCTTGAGTTGAAATAGTTTGGACTACCACTGCAAGTGGTGACAGCTCCAGGAACCTTTCAAACTATTTAAACAACGGGACCTAACTATCTTCCACAGTACCCAGACGCCCCGGGCTCTGCCTCGGTTCTGCGTTTTTCATTCATGCTATCCGAACAGTGAATTCACCAAAGACAACCTACCTTCAGCGCATACTTGTCTCCAGTCTTCTTCTTGAAGATTTCAAGCACTTTGCCATTGATGCCCAGCCCCAGCACCTGGCTGGTCACCTTGTATTCGTCTGTTATGGCGTTTTTCTTGATCTGTAAATTGGGTCTTGGGTGGAAGGGGAGGAACTGGCCCGTGGGGTTCTGCTGCCCCGCCGGGTTGGGAAACAGTGGCTGGTTCTGTGCGTTGGACAACATGCTCTTGGTTTGTGCTGAGAGACGAACAACAATACTTCTTCTGGCTTTTCCTTGTAACACAGCCCGAGTCTTCTTCCTGGGTTAGCTGGCCTGTGACAAAGTGTTCACTGTGTAGCCGCCAGGCCCGACAAATTACCGGCACAACTTCAGTCTTTACAGGTTAACAAAGTCACTTGGTTAGCTTATTAAAAGCTACGTTAGCTAGCCGTTAGCATGCTAGCTTGATCCTATTCTTGACCTGTGACTCTCGGCTAACGACTCAGCTATCGGTTAGCTTATCCATCTCCGGTGGCGTCCGCTGTCCACCGGTTCCTCAAAGAGCACTTCGGGAACTTTTGTAAAACAACCCATACGTCGGCTACAGGACTGAGTTTCTAAATTAGTAAGGTAAAAGCTCGCGAGTTAAGTAAAATAACAAAACAAACGACAATAACACTGAACGGAAGGCAACAGAGAGGGGAAAAACTCCGACAGCAGTAGCACGCCAAACACCACTTCACTTTCCGAACCAGGAGGAGCAGGTTTGACTCCTGACGTCATGGCGAGGGCCTTTCTCCGCTTAAAGGAGAAGCAGAGGAAGAGACTTACGTAACAGCGTCATGAAACCGAGGGGACACAAGGGGGAAGGGGTTCAACGTAAGGCAGTCAAAGAAGTAACGTTTTATATCTATGTATTTTTAGGTCTTCAGTCTGTATGTTGGCCTCAACGTCACGCTACATGCCTTAACAAAGGGAAATTAAATTCTCCACACGGGAAAGATGGCAGATTAAACCTCTGCTGTGCTGAAGAGAAGAAACACTTGAAATGCTTGGATAGTAAAAGAGAGAGGGACAAAAATACACCCCGTAATCTGGCCGTATAGGTTACCTCAAGGTTAGAGAGCTATGGGGTCTGCTTTTCCTAATTAAACTGAATTCACACGTGCCTCATTTTGATCTACTTTATTCTTCGGTTTTACGTGTTTCTTATTTTTTTCTGGCTTTTGGCTACTGTCAAAAGGTAAGACTCTCAGCCAAATATCTGCCTCTAAACGTGGGGTTTTAGAAATCATGAGTCCAAAAAGAGCGTCCCTGTCTTTTATTCTTCTGTCTGTCCCTTTCCACGTCTTAAATACAGTTCCGAAACCTGAATGGCTACAACATTAACAGAGCACAGTCTTGTAGCCTTTCAGCTTACTACCAATCTGTATTCAAAGATTAATACAAAATATAGGCAAAATTAGTCAACAGTGCATTCTTTTTTGACTAAGATAGTGTCATTGATGCATGATTATAGCTCAATTTTCAAGACAGTGGAAAATCCAAAAATGTCACCTGGCTGTACATTTTCTTAGAACGAACATTAGATAGTATGAATCAAACACATGTCCTCTCAGCAGTTTTCTTTGTCACAGATTCAGTTTGATTGGTCAAATTGTGCATTTTGACTTTAAAGTTTAATTAATTTATCTAGCATATAAATTAATCATTGACAGTGAATAAAGACCCTGACTCCAAGAACATCATATTACCTTATTTTCTAAATGTTCATCTTTAAACAAGCCTTTGTAGGATGGCTACAGGTACCGTGTGTATCATTTTCTCCAGGGTCACAGTAATCACAGTAATTTCATACCATTTTACATGTCCATTTTAATCTTATATTATCTCACATCAACAGACCACACATCTCATATTCTCTGTTTTTTACTCTGATTTCTGAAACACTTTCTCTGCTCTGTGTATTTCTTGGACTCCTGACTGTGATCCATTTGGAACTGAAATGCAGCACTTCTTGTAACCACTAGATGGCAGACCAGTTTACGTTTTTTTTAGAACCAAATCCTTGCCATGAAACGATGTTAAAGCTCAATTCAGTGTTTGCAGTGAAAGTGCTTTTGAACCTGCATGAAGCCACTGAATAGGGTTTATCTCATGGGACAATACAGTGTGGGACACATAGTCACACAAATGGTTTTAAATGTATTATCACTGACCATGTGTCTGACACCGAACTAAAATCTAATCCTCAATCTCAGTCAAAAATGGTGGTTTGAAGAATTCATTGTTGAAATGCTTTAGTATGTAGGGTAATGACACAGTTGTGTGAGTCAAGCTGTTGCCTGCTGAATCTGAAACCCTCTTTTCCCAACAATGCATATGCTTTGGTCTTGTTGTCAGCTAAGCGATGCACTCAGCTGACCTCTGTTTATTTGTACACGGTTAGACTTAATGAAATTGGATTTCTCTAAGGGCTTCAGATCACCTCTGCCGTGCACCCATGGAAATTAAACCATTAAGAGAACAAATGTTGTTTAAACAATGTTTACAGAACTCACAGGACAAACTGAATAAAGATGTGTTGTAAGATGTGATACTCCCGGGTCATCTACAGTACACACTAGTCTTGTGAATGTAGGATGGAGAAGATTCAGATCCTCCTCTCTACTTCCACCTATGGGAACTTACTTGTGTCCACTGCCATCTCTCTTCGTCTTGACTTCTAGATCTTGTTTACTGTAAACTTGAAAAGTTTTAATAAGTTTAAGGTGTGAAATTAGGATTTAGTTTTTGCACATTGTTAGAAAGCCTTTAACATGTGGTGCAATTGGAAATCCACACTACTGTCAGAGACAGAAACTAGTGACTGCCTGTGTCACATTTAGGGCTTCCCCGTTCCATTCTAGTGAGATAGCTTAGGTTTATAGATTAGGTAACGTTACAGATGTGCTGTATCACCCTAATTTAGTACTAGAAAAATTTGTTTTAACTGACATCCATGTAGCAGTCTTTTTCTCCAAAATCTATGTAGAAGAAACTAAAACTAACTAAAAGTAGGCCTAGTGCTCACCCTTTTTTATCAGAAGTTCCTCCAGAGCAGCAGAAGACAACATGCAACTGTTTTCAACAGATGAAGTGATTCTTGTCTGCTACTCCTTTCATAACTTCTTACCTCTAAAGTGTTATGTATGATGGCTGAATGGACTTTCAAGAATTGTTTGACATTAAATTAAACTGCACTTCAGCAACGCGTAATTGTGATCTGAGAGACTTAAAACATAAGCTTTCCTAGCTTGGCGGCTAGGAAAAACAAGTAATCTGGTCTGCACAATCATAACCTTGATAACGTTTGTCAACAATTATGTTCTTGCTTCTTCTATGCTAATAAAATTCATTATGTACACATAACTCGACATGAACTATTAACTTCCTGTGAGTTTGAAAATGCTGTTCCAATCTACAGCACACATTATGTTACACCTGAACAACAAGTAATCCCCATTTTTGTAAAATCCCCATTAATGGCTTTAGGGTAACGGCCTGTGAGCTTTATAATATTCCTTCATTTACTGATAAATAAATGTACTACGGCTATTATTAAACTTCCCAACCTATAGAAAGTTTGCTGACAGAGCACGGAGGAGTGACGTCATCCTTAAGCTTAGTTTCCATTTGGTTACATTTCACTGTTATCCTCAGTTATGTAAGAGAGGCACATCACATGTCCTCATGGATCTCATATACAGTGGGGAGAACAAATATTTGATACACTGCTGATTTTTCAGGTTTTCCTACTTACAAAGCATGTAGAGGTCTGTAATTTTTATCATAGGTACACTTCAACTGTGAGAGACGGAATCTAAAACAAAAATCCAGAAAATCACATTGTATGATTTTTAAATAATTAATTTGCATTTTATTGCATGACATAAGTATTCGATCTCCTACCAACCAGTAAGAACTCCGGCTCTCACAGACCTGTTAGTTCTTCTTTAAGAAGCCCTCCTGTTCTCCACTCATTACCTATATTAACTGCACCTGTTTGAACTCGTTACCTGTATAAAAGACACCTGTCCACACATTCAATCAAACAGACTCCAACCACTCCACAATGGCCAAGACCAGAGAGCTGTGTAAGGACATCAGGGATAAAATTGTAGACCTGCACAAGGTTGGGAGCAGCTTGGTGAGAAGGCAACAACTGTTGGCGCAATTATTAGAAAATGGAAGAAGTTCAAGATGACAGTCAATCTCCATTGGTCTGGGGCTCAATGCAAGATCTCACCTCGTGGGGCATCAATGATCATGAGGAAGGTGAGGGATCAGCCCAGAACTATATGGCAGGACCTGGTCAATGATCTTAAGAGAACTGGGACCACAGTCTCAAAGAAAACCATTAGTAACGCACTACGCCGTCATGGATTAAAATCCTGCAGCGCACGTAAGATCCCCCTGCTCAAGCCAGCGCATGTCCAGGCCCGTCTGTAGTTTGCCAATGACCATCTGGATGATCCAGAGGAGGAATGGGAGAAGGTCATGTGGTCTGATGAGACAAAAATAGAGCTTTATGGTCTAAACTCCACTCGCCGTGTTTGGAGGAAGAAGAAGGATGAGTACAACCCCAAGAACACCATCCCAACCGTGAAGCATGGAGGTGGAAACATCATTCTTTGGGGATGCTTTTCTGCAAAGGGGACAGGACGACTGCACCGTATTGAGGGGAGGATGGATGGGGCCATGTATCGCGAGATCTTTGCCAACAACCTCCTTCCCTCAGCATTCCCAAAAGCATTGAAGATGGGTCGTGGCTGGGTCTTCCAGCATGAGAATGACCCGAAACACAAAGCCAGGGCAACTAAGGAGTGGCTCCGTAAGAAGGGTCCTGGAGTGGCCTAGCCAGTCTCCAGACCTGAACCCAATAGAAAATCTTTGGAGGGAGCTGAAAGTCTGTATTGCCCAGCGACGGCCCCAAAACCTGAAGGATCTGGAGAAGGTCTGTATGGAGGAGTGGGCCAAAATCCCTGATGCAGTGTGTGCAAACCTGGTCAGGAACTACAGGAAACGTATGCTCTCAGTAATTGCAAACAGAGCTTTCTGTACCAAATATTAAGTTCTGCTTTTCTGATGTATCAAATACTTATGTCATGCAAATTAATTATTTAAAAATCATACAATGTGATTTTCTGGATTTTTGTTTCGTTCTCTCACAGTTGAAGTGTACCTATGATAAAAATTACAGACCTCTACATGCTTTGTAAGTAGGAAAACCTGCAAAATCAGCAGTGTATCAAATACTTGTTCTCCCCACTGTGTACGCACACCTTTTAAAACACCTTTAGTACAAGTACACATGCACCTAGACACATGTACACACACATGCACTTGCACACATACACACTTTGCATAGCTTCAGGATCACTTATAGCTGCTCCCCCAGACACCCAGGACGGTCTATTCAGTACAGTGCCCTCCCTGGGGAGGAGAAGTGTCATGGCTCCAACGACAATTCACTTTAATCAGAGTGACCAGAATGCTCAAATCACACTATACATTGCAGATTTCTGTTGGGTCATGTGCCAGTGTACCAAGGTTTGCGCTGGTGTACAGGGATCAGGAATGCTTGGCCCTGAGCACAAAACTGTAGAATCTGGCATGCTGACATTTTCCTTTTCTCCATTCCTTCCCAGAACACTCCCTCGACACTCTCTCCAGTTTCACAGCACTTCTTTTAACCTCCTGACAGGAAGGAAATCTCGGG